ACCAATGTAGAGTTTGGCTGCAGATAATTGCTCTACACTCGATTATAACACCCCCTTGGCAGTCATCAGTAAATCACAGGTCGCAGTACAGGCTCACAGGTATCAGGACGTAGGCCTGATCCAAAACAGAAAACTTTAAGGTGAGAAAACGAGGAAAAAAAAAAACAAAAAAAAAAACAAGAGAAGCCAACAATATTCCAACCAGCGTTGCCACAATGCCCCGCTCACTGCGCTCACCAGCTGATTTCATCAGGTCCTCTACCACTATTATGATGCCGTGTTCCTAGCCGTGATCTTGACTGAGTCTCCCTCTTTGTGGCGGCTATGGCATGATGGGGATTGGCTGTGGTAGAGGACCTGAAGGAAAAGCTCCCACTCATATTATGGATTGTTCAGTCTAGAACCTATGTCCGCAATGATTGGACGGGAGAAATAGAGAAGTCGTCTTCATCTCATACAATGATGAACTAGTTTTATAGACCCAGTACTTTTCCCAGCCATTTTTCTCCCATCAGGAAGGGCTCGGCCTGTATCTGGGGGGACATACCGGCTATGTCCATACCATTTTAACACACACACACACACACACACATGCAAGGAAAATAAGCAACAGCGAGATGACAATCCCAGATCACACCATCACATTGCAAGCCAAATAGTCACACCGTGTCCAGATAGCAGCATTGCACCAATAATACACCAATGGAGTTTCGTAGCACTGAAAACCAATGTCCGTGGAGAGCACACTCTCTCCTCTCAATACACATTTCGTTAAAAGTGAACCTTTTGATTGTTCACTTTTTGTAACAAAGCCGGAATTCATGTTGGAGCGACATAAATAAGAATAAATCGAAACAATCATTGGTAAGTGTTGCTAAGTGGACAGTGATATGGGTCAACTGCCATCGCTTGGAGTACTGGACCCATCACACACACACACACCCCACCCAACCCCAACCACCCCAGCACACCAACGGTGTTCGAAGTTCTCCCTTGTAGGCAATCTTCACGGTAGCCTTTT